GATGCCAGGGGCATTGACACGGGTCCGCACATCACGGACGTGGTAGGCGAGGACGTGGTAGGCAGTCGGCTCCTCTTCCGTCTCAATGTGCTCCCACGTCTCGATGCCACTGTTGTCTGAGGTGGAATTTCCGCCACTCTGTCGTGACGAGCGAGAGGCAGATCGCCGTGGGCGGGCACGGCCTCGGGCGAGGGCGGCGGCCGCGCTGATGAGGGAAGGCGCACGGCGTTCGTCGGCTCCTGATGACGTCGATGAGCGGTCTGGACTGTGCGCCAGGGCTGTGCCTGACTTGTAAGTGCGTGGTGGGCCAGACGCGGCCCCAGGGCTGGAGCCGCTGGGGCGCGACCCGCGTGCGTCAGGATGCCCCCGCACGGGGACAGCTTGCAAGCCAGTGTACACCAGGTCGATGAGTGGTTTCGGGTCCAGCTGGAGCATGTGAAGCGAGACGCGTGGGCGGGGCTGGTTAGGGTCATCCCTGGTGGCTGCTTCAGTGTCGTAGTGCTGTTTGGCCCATACTCGCGCTGCCTCTGGCGAGTATAGTGCCTGCGGCGGTGGCCACGCTGCCGCGATGGCTGGTCTGCGCCTGGTGCTAGCTTCCTGGTCGTGAGCTTCAGCCGCCTCACGGAGATCTGGATGATCGTAGCCAGCGATGTGAAGGGCGTGCGCGCAGTCGCCCATGCCATAGGCGTGTGGTAGGGCACGGCACCTGGAAGCAGCTTCTGTGGGGGCGCACCAGTCCATGCGGATGAGGAGGCTCAGGACCCGAGGGTAAATGAGGCGCGCTCCGTGGGCCTCCCCTTTCACGAAGTTGTGCCTGTTTTCCCCGCGCGGTGGTTGGGTGGCCTCGCACATCCAGAGTGCGATGGGTCCCCACGCGAGGGTGTCGTCTTCGAGACTGTAGGGCGGGTGGGGCGGCATTGCGTACCACGCGGCCAGCGAAGGGTGCACGCTCGCGTACGTGCGGCCAACGTTGGTGCCAGTTCGGCCCTTCGCTTCACGGCGGGGACCTGGCAAGAGGTGCCCTCCACTGGCAGCAAGACGGGCCGCAAGGTCGCCGCGGGTCCCATGCCAGAAGACAGTGGGCGCGTCGGTGGTGGGTTGGCGGAGGTCCCACGTGAGGTATGGGAAGATTGTCTCGCCTGAGTTCCCGCCCGAGTCTTCCAGCACCCAAGTGAGGCGGTTCGGGGGCCTCTGCATGATGTCCGTCCACGGCCCCAGCGCTTGGAGTGTTGGATCATGGGTAAATCGAGGATGGTCGTGGAGTCGCAGAGCGTCTTTGATGTCCTCTGTAGACACGCCACTGTTACCAAGCGCAAAGCCGTTTTGATACAGGGCGTTAAGTATGCTCTTCGGCGGCACGGGGACCGCTGGGTCGCGCTGGATAGTGTTGCGTAAGTTGCGTGTCGGTGGCTTGAGGGCTGTGTAAGGCATACCAGGGCCTGAAGGCGCCTGGGGCCTGTCGGGTGATGCATAGCGCGCTCGCCGTCGTGGTGGTTGGGTGTCCGCGTCGGGAGAGGAACCACGAGCATCAGCATGTCGGAAGATGGACCACGGGCTATCGTGGGTGCACTCACGTGTTTCCCTTGCCTCGGTGTCGCTGCCGTGTGCTGTGGCATCCTCGTTAGTCGGTAGGTTACCGTATGCCGCGCCGCTTTTGGAGCCGTCTCGCGGAGACGGGCTGGTCGATCTTGGTGTGACAGACGAGGCTCGCGATACGGCGGCAGTGACTTCGACGATGGCGGCGGTGGTGGCGGTAGTGACATCGGCGACTGCGGCGGCAACTGCTGCGGCGTAGTGTTCCTGCAGCAGCGGATGTCGGAGTGCGTGCACGTGCTGGTCGTCGTGTTCGTCGGCGAGCGTGCACGGCATTGTGTATGTGGCCTCATCACGCGGCCTCCTGCTCGGTTGGCAACAGCGGAGGCACCACTGGGCTGTGGATGAGTCCAGGGCCCGCGCACAGATGCGGGCTCCTACGTGTCCGACAGCTCCTTGAGCAAGAAGTTTGGCACTGACGAGTAGAAGACCACACACGACTCCACCCGTGGCAATAGCCCCGAGCTTGCCGCTGGCCCATTTCAGGACACCCCCGAGGCCGACCCCGACTGCGGTGGCTCCGCCCGAGACGCTATCTCTGAGTTTGACGCTGGTCCATTTGAGAGTGGCCCACAATGCGGACGTGACGTTGTATGTCGTTGTGCGTCGGGATGTGGTGGGCACAGATGGGCCTGGTGCCGTCGCTTTGCGTCGTCGTCGTTGTCGGTAGCTGGGGTCTCGGCTCGGTGTCGGCAAGTACCCATCGATCTGGTCCTTGTACGGCATTGCTATCACGATGGCGTACGTGGCCACAAAGAGGCAGATGAGGCAGCCACAATGTCGTGATGCCGCTGCGCTGTGCTGGGGCTCGTGGGAACCGCTGGCATCTGGGTACTCATCATCGATGGGGTCGTTGTCGATGTCGGCCTGCCAGTGGCCAATGACACTGGGGTTGGAGTCAGTCACGTTGACACGGTGTACAGAGGTGTAGGGCGTGGTGCTGCCACCTGCGGTCTGGGGATGTCCAGGTCTAGCCAGTGCTGCAGCGGGGCTGAAGCCGCCACTGCACGGACTGGCACGAGCTGGCGATGCAGTGGTATGGCTTGTCGCGTCGGCGGCAGTGACGCCTTCAGCGTCGTTGAGCTGTGCGCAGGGGTCGGCCTGAGCCGAGTTGTTGGGCGGACTGTTGTGCGACGAGGTGTGCCCTACGTGGGGTTCACTGTCGCGGTCACGCTGGGCCGTGTCGCCTGGTGGGAGAGAGAGGGAGAGGCACTGGAACTGGCAAGCGCGCGTTCTCCCCATCCTCGCCTTGAGGGCCGATGTCCAAACCACTGGCCAATCGGAGAATGAAAAGGGTTTGAAACTGCTTGCTCAAAATCAGTTCACTAGCCGGTTGCCCACGCGAGCGGCGGCATGCGTCTGAGAAAGGGCAGACGCGTCCGAGCCGCCATGCGGCCCTGCCACTTCGTTTCTGCGCGAAGAGGCTTCGCGGGCTGGAAAAAAGCGCCCCGCCCTTCCGAGACTTGCTGCGTCCGCTCGGCCCAGCTGTTTCCGTTCTCGCCGTCTCGTGGCCCCTCTCCGCCACTGTCGTCGGCGACCTCGACCTCGCCCCTCCAAAAACCAGCGAAACACCTGCGGATGGAGGTCGGATCGCGTCGGCATGTCCCCCATCGGCGCCCAACTCGCTCCCTCTCCGGCGCTTCGCACCGGTTGCCGCCGCGCTCGACGCTGCGCCTGGGGAAATCTCTGAACCTCTCGACAACGCGCGGGCTGGGCGACGGTTCGGTCGGGGCGACTCCGCAGGCCCCCTGGCGGCGCAATCTCTGTACTCCGAAACCTCGGTCTCGCTCTTGGGGAGCCCTATCGGCGTCGGGCAATCCGCCGAGGGGCCCCGCCGGGCCCGCGGCGGCAGGGAGGCCCTCCGCCCACGCAGCCGCTGTTCCATCCCAGGGCTGGCCAGCAGCGACCACGTGGCCTGGGGCGGCGACGGCGGCGGCAGCCTGCCGCTGGACCACGAGCGCAAACATATGGTTGAGCACCTGCTGCATTCCGACAATGTTCTCGTCAGCGGCTTCTGAGACTGCTCGATCATGCTGCTCGCCTCTTCCCTGGCAATCGAGCTGCCAGTGCCCGTTGATGTCGCCGATGGTGCCGTTGATCGTCGTCCCCTGGGTGTGCCAGGCCCCGTCTGCTCGAGATCATTGCGTTCCTGCCGATGGCGGCGCCCTGGGCGATGATGCAGACGGAACATGCGGCCTCTCCTGCGAGTACCCTTCGTGCTCGACTCCTCTGCCCATGTCGTCGTCCATGGCTTCCTCGGTTTCTCTTCGCTCCTTCTCTTCGGCCTCTATCGCAGCGCCCATGGCCTGCAGCTCCTATTTGTTGTCATAATTGCCCTGTGGTGCCCCCTCGAAGTCCTGAGCTTGGCGTACCTATCGTCTACTATCTTCTGTGCGTCGTCTGCCTCCTGGTGGATGTGATCGACGAATTTGTTGCTCCTGATGATCGATGCGTCGACCCAGGCCAATTGCACGAAAACTGACTTCTCGGCGATCATCATCATCCTGCGATACACTCCTATGAGACGCGCCGTGTTGCTGGTGTCCTCCTCCATCGCCCAGTGTAGATTATACTGCTGCCGCGCGATCGCGAGTTTGCACTTCACGTTCTTGTGGTATTCGTTGTTATCCTCCTTTGTGGTTCCACCCTTCAACGGCCGGCACCCCTCGCTCTGCAATGCCTTGAACGGCGTCGCCATCCTTACAGCCGGCGGGCCGTCGTCGGATGGCATGACGAAACTATTATCATTCTCCTTCCACCGCGTTGTCTCCGCTTCCTTGCGCTGCGACGCGTCTTGTAGCAACCCCCCGCCACGGGCACTCGGTGCGCGAGCGCGCGCCTGGACAGCGGGCAACAAGGCGTCCGATTGCCGCCAGTGTTGTTTGCACCGTCCGCAGTGGGTCTGGCCCTGCGGGTTGGAGTCGCCGCAGATGCGCCTCCACGGCGCCATGGTTCCTGTCTTGAAACAGTACGACTCTGGTCGTGATTGCTCTGGCCTGCCAGCGAGGCAGTGGACAGAGCCAACACAAAACAGATGTTCAGGCCTGACCTGGCGGTCTTCTGTGGCCCAAGCTCGCTGAAGCTGACCTGCCCAGCTGGCTTGATCTATTATTTGAACCAAAAATGGCTTGAACCAAAATGGCTACGGTCCTCCTCCTCCTCCTCCTCTTCCTCCTCCTCCTCCTCCTATCCTCCTCCTCCTTTGGCTTCCCCCCAGCCGTTTTCTGATGGTCCGGGTATCTGTAGAGAGCCCCGAGAGCCCGAGGACGGCGGGTCACCTCAGGGCACGGTTGCCGCAGGACCCGTTTCCCCCATGGGCGAGGGGGTGGCGACTCGCTTGCCCCAGATCGGCGGGAGGGGCGGCCACATCTTTCTTGCCCTCGCCGCACGGCTTCAAGCGGTCGCGCGGTCCTCCAGGCGCATACGCCGCAGGGCCAGGGCCTGCCCGCGCGCCGCGATGGCGCGCGCCTCGTCGTCGTGCGCCTGCAGCCACTCGACCTCGAAGGTCGGACATCGGCATCCCCTCCCTTCCGCCTCCGTGCCCCCCTGCTTCCTCCTCCCCCTCCTCCTCCTCCTCTTCCTCCTGCTCCTCCTCCTCCTCCTCCTCCTCCCTCGGCCTCCGCCCCCATCCGATGTTAGGCACTCCTCCTCCTCCCTCGGCCTCCCCCCCTCCGATTTTAGGCACAGTTGGCGTCCTCGGGCCTTGGCCACCAGGTCGCTCAGGTCGTACGCGATGGGCACGTAGTGCTCCCAGGGCCTGGCGAGGGCGTCGACGCTCTCGTAGTAACCCGCCTCTCATGGGCCTTTTTTCTACCACCACCACCACCACCACCATAAGTTGGAGGGGGAATGAGGAGGAGGACGAGGAGGAGGAGGAGGAGGACAGAGAGGAGGAGGACAGAGAGGAGGAGGACAGAGAGGAGGAGGAGGAGGTGGAGGAGGAGGAGGAGGAGGAGCAGGACCCCCTCCCCCTCCAACTTATGGTGGTGCTGGTGGTGGTGGAAACCAGGCCCATCAGCCTCGTGCTGAAGCAACACGCCGCCCAAAGACAACAGCTTGCTGATCCGGCCGCCCATGACCACACCTCGCGATCAACGACCGTAATGCGACCAAACGCCTGCAAACAAGTGCGGCATGGACGAATAAAAACCAGATCGGACAAGAACGGGAAACGCCGATTTTGTTCATTGGGGTCGTGTGGGGGAATGAAGAAACGGATGATGGCGACGACAAGACGGCGGATGGCGAGGACGACAGCGTGGATCATGGGGAAAGCAGCGAGGGAGCAGGAGGACAACAAGTAGAACGACAAGCACGAGGAGGAGGAAGAAGAGATGGAAATGGACGAGCGCGACGAGGAGCGAAACGGAGGAGGAGGAGGAGGAGGACGACTCAGGACGGTAATGAGCCCGAGGAACACGACGTTGAATAAGAGGGGATTCCGTGTGATCTTTTGAGGCTACCCTGGGGGCTGTTGCGGCCCTCTAGGGCTATTCTGTGGCATCCTGGGAGCCTCTTCGGGGTCTGTCTGGGTCCTCTTGGCGGAGGTGGAAGATCAGGAGGAGAAAAAGGACGACGACGACGACGAAGGAGGACGGTTAGGAGCCCGAGGAAAAGGACGTCGAAGAAGGGGGGGTCCTCGTGACCTGTTGAGGCTACCCTGGGGGCTGTTGGGGCCCTCTTGGGGACCTCCTGATGCTCTCTTGGGGCTCTCTTGGAGACCGTTTGGGGCCATCCGGGGGCCTCGCTTGGGCCGACTTGGGGCCATCTCGGGCCGTCTTAGGGGCCTCTTGTGCCGTCTCGGGGGGATCAGATGGGGCCTCCTGAACAATTGTGGACCATGTGATAACGAAAGGAGCAGATATGAAACACATATACGCTTCCCAAAGAAATGTGTCGAATTGTGCCTCTGGGGCGTCCTGTTGGAGGCCTCGTGAAGCGTCTTGAGGGCCTCTTTGGCTACCTCGAGGCCGTCCTGGGCCATCTTCGAACGCTCTCTCGGGCCTCCCTGAGGCCGTCGTGGCGGTAGCTTGGGCGCCCTTGGGGCCGTCTTGGGCCCGCGCCCGGCCCTCTGAGAGGCGCTCTTGATGCTGACTTGGGCCATCTAGGGCCGAACATGGCCGAACATTGGGCCTTGGAGCAGTACTTGGGGCCTCTTGTACCGTCTTGGGGCGATCATGGGGGCTCTTGGGCCGTCGCGGACGCTATTCAGACAAGGACGCATTTATGCTAGAAGTAAAAAAATCCCCGATAGGAATAATGGGACGATGTTTGCCTCGTCGGCGTCCCTTTGGAGGCCTGGTGGAGCGTCTTGAGGGCCGCGTTGGCCGTGTTGAGGCCTTCCTGGGTCATCTTTGAACGCCCTCGGGCCGTCTTGTTGGCCCTCTTCTTGGGCCGCCCTGAGGCCGTCCTGGAGGTAGCTCGGGCGCTCTTGGGGCTGCCTTGGGCCGTCTTGGGGCCCTCCGAGGCGATCTTGGGGCTCACCTCGGCTGGCCTTCGAGGGCCGACCATGCCCGAACATTGGGCACCCCTCTCACACTCCCCCTCCAGGACTTCCCCGTCTGACAGATCGCGACGCTACGCGCGCGTTCCGTCATCTGGGGCCCCCGAGGCCACGCCCCTCTCACTCCCCCTTGAGAATTCTCCCGGCGAACGGATCGCGACGCTGCTCCCGCTTTGCGTCATCCACCGCCCCTGTCGATTTAGCATATTGGTGCGTGGCGTGCCGAATGTTTGGTTGTTGATGATTCTCGTCACGACTCCCCCTGGGGCTTCGGCCCATCCCGCCGGTCACCCGGAAAGCTCCCACACAGAATCTCTCGTTGGCCAAGTCGCTTCCAAGACGGCCAAGATGTCCCAAGGAGGCCTCCAAGATGCCTCCAACACGCTCCTACGACGTCCAAGATGGCTCCAAGAAAACCCAAGATGGCCCCACGGCCAAAGATGCACCCCAGCCGGCCAAACATGATTTCAAGATGTGTCTGCCCAGACGGCCCCAGAGGCTTCAAGAGGCCCCCAAGACGGCTAACGAGATCTTCAAAGGGGTTTCCAGAAGGCCCGCAGAGGCCAAACTCATTGTTGCCCCTAGGTGTTCAAAGGAGTTTGGCGTTGGCTGCTTCTCGGTACTCCAAAAGCACAAGACGGCCCGAGAGGCCTACACTATCGCCTCCAGAACGCCCGAGAAGCCTCCAAGATGGCCCCAAACGGCCCAAGAAGCCCCCAAGACGGCCCAAAGGAGGCCAACTGAGTCCCAGACGGTCTCCAAGACGTCCAACATGGCCTCCGAGACGGCCCTGCGGCGCCACAAGAGGGACCCAAGAGGGCCTCAAGAGAGGCACCCGAGAGGTCTCCTCCATCTCCCCGCTCCTCTTCCTCAAGATTGCCTTCTTCCCCCCGCACGTGCTCCCCGAACGTTTCCGAGAGGTGTCCGTCTGCTCCTCCTTCTCCTTCAACTCCTCCTCCTCCTCCTCCTCCCCCTCCTCCTCCTCCTCCTCAACCTCCTCCTCCTCCTCCTCCTCCTCTTCCTCATCATCACTATCGTCATCCCCATCCTTCTCCGATTATCCCTTCGCTCATACTTCCCTCCTTTTAACTGTGTTCCCCGAAGGGCTTCCACACCGGCAGGGGGAGAAACATCTGCCGATATCTTCGCCGAACTCTAGCCACAACCTTCGGCCACATAGACGAACGTGAGCGTTTTTTATTCGGCGCTTCGACATTGGGCGGAAGGGGGGGGAAGGGGGGGAGGGCTCCGGACCTCTGCTTACTGCAACTGCTGCAACGTGTGTCCAGTATGGGGGAGACTCCACCCGCTTGAAACAGGCGCCCAAAGCAGCAAAGATCTGCTCCATGCGGGGGGGGGAGAGGGGGGGGGGCGAGGGCCCGCGCCGATCGGCAAACCAATGGATACGCAATCGATCACCATCCTGAAAGGAAGGGGGCGGCGGTGATTCGCCGTGGGCGTCCTCGAGAATTGTCTCTCGTCTGGGTTGCCGGCTGCGGCCCCGAGGCCTCGACGGCGACAACGACGACCACGACAACCAAGAAAAATGGTTGAATCGTCCGCTTCCCATTTGGGGGGCCGCGACCCTCTCCCAGGCATGCTTCACCGCTCGGTCGCATTACCCTTAGGTCGGGCATGTCCTCCTACAGGGGGAGGTTGGACGAAACACTAAAGACAACCGACAAAATCTACAAAAAATCGTTCCCAGACTATTGTTTCACTATTTTTGAATATTCCTCCTGTGCAGGGACAAGCCCGACGTAACATTACCCATATCCCTGCCCTGGCGGCCTGGACACCAAGGCGGGATCCATGGATGCACTATCCCCTCGGTGCGGTGCACTCCGCGCGGGGCACCGCGCAAAGCCGTCCCGTACCACACGGCTTCATGGGCGGTGGGCACGGACGCTTCCAGCCCACGAGAGCCGTCGAGGTTCACGAAGTACTTGAAGTCATCCCACTTGTCGTACTGCTTGTACCTGGACCTCTCGACCCCCGTCAAGTTCTGGATCTCGCGCGCCCCCTCCGCGAGGGCCCCCGCGACGAGCGTGGAGTTCCCCGTGGCCCAGCTGATGCCGTAGCTCGCGACGGCGCTCCTGAGGGGCAGGCTCCGGGGAGGGGAGGACATCGACCTGGAATTGGCGACACGTCGCTGACAGATCGGTTACAGACCCCCGATTGCGAAGCCGAGCGCTCTGGACGGGGTGGGCTGTTGGGCCCCTGCCGGCGATCAGTGGGCGATTGGGGGTCGATGCTCGGTGTCAACTCATGGAAGCCTCCCGTACCAGCTTGTTGGCTCTTGCGAATAGGCGCTACTCGACGCTAGTCGCTACATCGGCCCTATCCCATCGATAACCAGACGCTAATCGACGCGAGCGTATTTTAAAGACGGAATTGTAGACAAGGCTCCCATGATTTGATACCGAATGAGCCTTAGATGCTGGTTCTGGGTTCCTGGAGCCACTGAATCTTCTCATGCGTCGATGCTGCGTCGAACGTCCGTCGACTTGAGTCGAACTTGAGCTGAACTTGAGCCGACCTGGAGTCGAGCTCCAGTCGAGCTAGAGTCGGCCAAGAGTCAAGCTCGAGTCGAGCAAACCCGGCAGGTGGGCCCCAAAGAAGTCCCCCAAACGAAGATCGAATGAGTCTATCCCCCCCTCACAGTGCCCCTGAGCTCCACTCCGCGACCAGCTGCTCGGGGTGCATGCTGGCCAGCCGGAGCAGGTGCAGCCGCGGCACCGCCGCCAGGTCCGCGTCGGGCACAAACTGCCAGGGGCCGGTGATGGTGCCGATCCAGTATGTTGGCGACCCACACGAGTGAACGGGGCGAGGGGCGTTCTCCTCCTCCTCCTCCTCCTGTTTCCTGTTTCCTGGTGGCTTCGGAGTTCGGTGAACGCAGCCTCCTCCACCTTCTCCTCTTCCTCCTGGGACATCCTTCCTCTCAATCTGCTTTGGACGCGCACGAGTCTGGCCACCAAAACAAACAAACCACCTCAGACACCCCCACAATCATGGCGCGAACGGGCCCTCGACATACCACCTGGCGACTCCACCTTGGGAGTGCTGAAACCAGCGCCTCGCCTGAGAAATCCTCACCATCTGCTCCGAAAGCAAAGGTAAGCCTGAGCGAATCCGACAGCGGCTGAATGAGAAAGAAGAGCAGGAGGTGAGGAGGAGGAGGAGGAGGAGGAGGGTTTGTTCTCTAAACCTTCTAAGTAGTACCAAGACCCCATCTTACGAGATTGGGGGTGTACGATATGGGGAAAACACGCCCGCAGCTTTTGATAACAAGTGGGCAGGGGGGGCGGCCTTCTGAGAGGGCAGGGGACGTCTTAGAAGGGCTCAATCCTCCTGAATCCCAAAGAATTCGCCCTCTGGACTTGGGTGAACACTTCAGCAAGACGTTCCTGATGTCTGCCTCCTTCGGGGAGGGGCGCATCACTGAATTGTATTCGCATGTGCTCACAATACAATAGCTCCCCCACTCGACCGGCCGCAGGCCAGGGGCAAGGAGCCCCACCCCTACCAACACTGTCAAAAGAACAATACCATATGATACCGAAGAAAATACAT